TATAACCCAGAAGGAATCTGACTTATTTATCAAAATTTCAAATGATGAACAGATTATTCATTCCTTATCTGGAATGGCAATAAACCAAAGGATACCATTCACATACCTAACTTAGACTCACAACAGCAATCTAGTACTGTTTTTTCTGCTGACAATGATAATGAAAGAGTTGATCCGAATCTCTATCAACAATGTGAAGCTAAGGTAGTCGAGTTAGAATATCTAGCAAAACACCTTAGAGAAGAATTGTCTATTAATTATTTAAGACACGTAAGAAATGTCGTTAATAATATGGACCGAGTGTTCACTATGATAAATAACATAAAATCATCACAATGCAATTCAAGGCGTAGTAATATATGGAATGCGAAGCCATGGACCATGTTTTTGCAATAATTAGTTATTTGTAATAATTAAGTTTAAAATATTAATTATATAAAATAAATTTACCATTTTTCTGTTCAGTGTCAACTTGTAACTTCTGTAATTACTACATTTTAAGAATCGGGTGATACTAAATTTATAAAATTTAGATTAGTTAAAATTTATATTATATATTTTTATAAGTATATATATGTATACATCTATAGTTACTCTAATAAGAAAGTCATCCAAATAAGTTGAGTGTTTTAAAAAGAAAAGTTGCAAATTTTTGTTGCCAAGTATTCATCAATCATAACCGGTAAAGGCCCTAAACTTGAGAAAATAATGTAATTCTGGTTTAATAGGATTCAAACATATTACAAACAAAAAATTGTAGTATAAAAAATGGAAGCCTGAAATTTAAAGGTATAGAAAAATAATTGAGCGATGCCAAGTAAAAACCTGAAAATGTTATCTAATAAGAATTCCAAGTTTTCACTTGGCATTAGGAAAACTATGCAATACTTATCTACATTAAACACTATATGTAGTTCATATTTAATAAGTTCAATAATGCTAAAAGTAATTGCATTTAAATTCGCTCTTAATTTAATAAATTTATTAATAATTAAAATATACTTTTAAATGGATTTTGGTAATTTGAAAACTTAATGTGATATAACCTAATTTTTATTTTTATAAAAAGTTTATTCCACGACTTTTCGCAATACATATATGTATATGTATTTAAATTTAAATAAAGCAAAAGTTTGTAACAATAACGATGAAAGTTGCACAGTATATAAATATATGTATTAGTGACAAAATCGTAATCTGCAAGTGACAATTACGTGATATGCAGTGATCTACATCACGTGCCCCAGAAAATCCGTACTGCATGCTGTCCCTGTTTATCACATATTCCTAGCCACTCTATACAGTATGTAGTAATTATCATGCTACGTTAAGATGCTAAATAAAAAATATTAGTTAACTCGTGTTAAATTATTGCAATGCCGAGTTATTTATATTGCATATAGCATCATGTCAGATTATTACAGTATATACTGAACTAATAAAAATAAGCCATAATTTATTTCAGTACAAAATTCTGTTTCGAAT